GGCCGCCATGAAGAAGCACGAGGCCATCGAGGCCGACATCTCCTCCTACCAAGAGCGCATCCAGGTGGTGGTGGAGCTGGCCCTGGAGATGGAGTCCGAGGGCTACTACGACACCAAGCGCATCAGCGCCCAAAAGGACAACATCCTCCGCCAATGGGGGCTCCTGACCGAGCTGGTCCGCGCCCGCCGGGCCCGCCTGGAGCAGAACCTGGCCCTGCAGAAGATCTTCCAGGAGATGGTTTACATGATCGACTGGATGGAGGAGATGCAGGTAGAGCTGGGACGGACGGGAGCGGGCACAGGGGGCGCGTCCCCATGGAGGATGTGATGGGCCCCATGGTGTCGTTCCTCTTCCCCAGGTGCTGTTGGTGTCCAAGGACGTGGGGAAGCATCTCCTGGAGGTTGAGGACCTTCTGCAGAAGCAGGGGCTGCTGGAGGCCGACATTTCGGACCAGACCGAGCGGGTGCAGGCCCTCAACGCCGCCGCGCTCAAGTTCTCGGAGCTGGAGGGTAAATTTGGGAGGCGGGGAGCGGGAGGCGCTCGGCCTTGGGTCGACTGAGGTCTTTGGGGTGACGTAGGCCATCTCCAGTAAGAAGTGGTCCTCCCGGTCCAGGCTACCAACCCTGCGACCCCCAGATCATCTGCAACCGCGTCAACCACGTCCAGACGTGCCTGGAGGAGCTGGGGGAGCTGGCGGCGAAGAGGCGCAAGGAGCTGGAGGACTCGCGCCAGCTTTGGGCCTTCTTTCAGGAGATGGAGGAGGCCGAGGCCTGGATCCGCGAGAAGGAGCAGATCTTGGCTGCCAAAACCTGCGGCCGGGACCTGAGCAGCGTCTTGACGTTGACCAACAAACACAAGAGCATGCTGGGCGAGCTGGGCAGCCGCCGGGCTCTCCTGCATCACAGCATGAAGAGGGGTGAGCAGATTTTGGCCAAGAAACGCTTCAGCCCCGGGGGAATCCAGGAGAAAATGCGGGAGGTTCGGCTCCGCTGGAAGAAGCTGGAGGAGGTGACGGGGCTGCACCAGCAGCGGCTGCAGGAGGCCCTCAACTTCTTCCAGTTCAGCGCTGAGACGGACGACCTGGTGGCCTGGCTGCAGGACACTTACCGCATCGTCTCCAGCGACGACTTCGGCCACGACGATTATTCCACCCAAGCCCTTCTGCGGAAGCACCGGGCGGTGGTGGAAGAGGTGGAGAAGCACCGGGCGGCCGTCCTGGCCCTCCGGAAGCAGTTGGCTCTCCTGGCGCCCGAACACCGCCAAGGGGTCGACGTCCAGATCCGGGTGGTGGAGGTGGAGCAGCTCTACGGGGAGGTGGCCGAGGTGGCCGTGCTGCGGCAGCAGTGGCTGCAAGACGCCTTGGCCGTGTACCGCATGTTCAGCGAGGTCCACGCCTGCGAGGTGTGGGTGGACGAGAAGGAGCAGTGGTTGGAGAGGATGGTGGTGCCGGAGGAGCTGGATGAGGTCGAGGTGATCCAGCATAGGTGGGTGGTGGTGGAGGGGATTTGGGGTGCTCGGGGTCCCACGGTGGATCCCTTCCACTGCCGCCGTTTCCCCCCCCAGGTTCGAGAGCCTGGACCAGGAGATGAACAGCGTCATGGGGCGCATCTTGGACGTCAACCAGGTGGTGCAGCAGTTGGTGGACGGGGGCCACCCCAGCTCCGAGGAGGTCCGCTCCTGCCAGGACCACCTCAACAGCAGGTACTGGCGTGGGGAGGGGGCCTGGATGTGGGGCTGAGCCCATCCTTGGGGGTCAGCGATGGCCATGGTGGACCTCATCCTACTGGGGGCTCCTGGATGGGGGAACCATCTGTGGGGCTGCAGGTGGACCCCAATTTCTGGTCCTCAAAGCCTGGTGGGATGTCCCCATGGGGTCCAGCTCTGGTGCAATGGTCCAGGCCCATCCCAAGGGTTGGTGATGCTCATGATGGACCTCATCCTATTGGGGTGCTCCGTGGTGAGGGAAACCATCTGTGGGGCTGCTGGTGGACCCCAATTTCTGGTGCAATGGTCCAAGCCCATCCCAAGGATTGGCCATGCCCATGGTGGACCTCATCCTATTGAGGCTTCTTGGTGGGGACAATCCCATGGGGTCCAACTCCCCAGTGCAGTGGATCAAGTCCATCTGTGGGGCTGGTGATGCCCAAGGGGGACCTCATCCTGCCTGAGGGTTTCTTGGTGAGGGGAACCATCTGTGGGGCTGCTGGTAGACCCCAGTTTTTGGTCCTCGAAGCCTGGTGGGGACGTCCCCATGGGGTCCAACTCTCCAGAGCTGTGGTTCAAGCCCAAGCATTGGCCATGGCCATGGTGGACCTCATCCTATTGTGGGCTCCTTGGTGGAGGGAACCATCCATGGGGCTGCTGGTGGACCCCAATTTGGTCCTCAAAGCCTGGTGGGATGTCCCCATGGGGTCCAGCTCTGGTGCAATGGTCCAAGCCCATCCCAAGGGTTGGGGGACCTCATCCTCCTTGGGGCTCCTTGGTGGGGGCTCCATCTGTGGGGCCGCTGGTGGACCCCAATTTCTGGTGCAATGGTCCAAGCCCATCCCAAGGGTTGGGGGACCTCATCCTCCTTGGGGCTCCTTGGTGGGGACGTCCCCATGGGGTCCAGCTCTGGTGCAATGGTCCAGGCCCATCCCAATCATTGGCCATGCCCAAGGGGGACCTCACCCTATCGAGAGGCCCCATCCTGGTCATGTCCCACTCCCGTCCCCAGGTGGAACCGGGTGGTGGAGCTGGTGGAGCACAAGAAGACGCAGCTCAGCTCCGTCCTGAAGATCCAGAACTACCTCCTGGAGTGCGGCGAAATGAAGGCACAGGTGCGGGAGAAGCGAAAAGCCATCGAGGCCACCCAGTCGGGCGGCGGCGACCTGGGCGGCGTTTTGGCCTTGCAACGCCGCCTCTCCACCATGGAGGCTGCCCTGGTGGTCCTGGAGCCGCGCTTGGTGGAGCTTCAACGGGAAGGAGAAGCCTTGGCCGCCTCCCACCCGGGGAGGGCCCTGGAGATCCTGCTGCCCTTCGAGCAGATCAGCGAGGAGTGGGAGGCGCTGAAGCGGGCGCTGCAGGGTTGCGAGGACTCCTTGACGGTGGCCGGGCGGCTCCAACAGTTTATCCAGGACCTGGACAACTTCTTGGGTTGGTTGGTGAAGACCCAAGCGGCCGTAGCCTCCGAGGAGGTCCCCGATAGCTTGACAGAGGCGGAAAGGTTGTTGAACCACCACGCAGCCCTGAAGGAGGAGATCAACGGCTACGAGGAGGACTACGCCAAGATCCAGGCGGCCAGCGACCTCCTGGCCTTGGAGGAGGCCGAGGTGCCCTACCTCTCCCTGCAGGGGTGGCTGCAGAAGTTGGACGCGGGGTGGGGGAAGCTGCTGCAGAGCTGGGAGGCGCGGCGGGAGGCGCTGGTGCAAGCGCACGTCTTCCACCTCTTCCTCCGCGACGTCCAGCAGTGCGAGAACAGCCTCTACAACCAGGTAGAGGAAGGCTGGGCGGGCCTCGGGGTGGAGGTGGGGAGGATGGAGCGAGGAGGAGGTCTGGGTTGGGTTGGGATGGATGGAGGTGAGGAGAAGGTCCTGGTTGGGTTGGGATGGATGGAGATGAGGAGAGGGTCCTGGTTGGGTTGGGAAGGATGGAGATGAGGAGAAGGTCCTGGTTGGGTTGGGAAGGATGGAGAAGAGGAGAAGGTCCTGGTGGACCCCATAGTTGAGTTGGGAAGGACAGAGTGAGGAGAAGATCTCAGCCGAGTTGGGATGGATGGAGTGAGGAGAAGATCTTGGCTTGACTCCATGGTTGAGTTGGGAAGGATCAAGTGAGGAGAAGGTCCTGGCTGATTCCATGGTTGAGGTGGGAAGGATGGAGCAAGGAGAAGGTCCTGGTTTAGTTGGGATGGATGGAGAAGAGAAGGTCCTGGTTTGGTTGGATGGAGAAGAGGAGAAGGTCCTGGTTGGGATGGATGGAGAAGAGGAGAAGGTCCTGGTTGGGTTGGGATGGATGGAGACGAGGAGAAGGTCTGGGTTGAGGTGGGAAGGATGGAGAAGAGGAGAAGGTCCTGGTGGACCCCATAGTTGAGTTGGGAAGGACAGAGTGAGGAGAAGGTCTCAGTTGAGGTGGGATGGATGGAGAAGAGGAGAAGGTCTTTGTTGACCTCAATGTTGAGTTGGGAAGGATGAAGTAGAGAAGATCTCAGTTGAGTTGAGAAGGATGGAGAAGAGGAGAAGGTCTTGGTTGAGTTGGGAAGGATGGCGTGAGGAGGTCTCAGGTGAGTTGGGAAGGATCAAGTGAGGAGAAGGTCTCGGTTGACTCCATGGTTGGATTGGGAAGGATGGAGCGAGGAGAAGATCTCAGCTGAGTTGGGATGGATGGAGAAGGTCTTGGTGGACCTCATGGCTGAGTTGGGAAGGATGGAGCGAGGAGAAAGTCTTGGATGAGTTGGGAAGGATCAAGTGAGGAGATCTCAGTTGACCTCAGGGTTGAGTTGGGAAGGATGGAGCGAGGAGAAAGTCTTGGATGAGTTGGGAAGGATCAAGTGAGGAGATCTCAGTTGACCTCAGGGTTGAGTTGGGAAGGATGGAGCGAGGAGAAAGTCTTGGATGAGTTGGGAAGGATCAAGTGAGGAGATCTCAGTTGACCTCAGGGTTGAGTTGGGAAGGATGGAGCGAGGAGGTCTCCACAGTTGAGTTGGGAAGGATCAAGCGAGGAGAAGGTCCTGGCTGATTCCATGGTTGAGGTGGGAAGGATGGGATGAGGAGAAGGTCCTGATTTAGTTGGGAAGAATGGAGAAGAGGAGAAGGTCTTGGTGGACCTCAGGGTTGAGTTGGGAAGGATGGAGAGAGGAGAAGGTCTTGGTTGACCTCAATGTTGAGCTGGGAAGGATCAAGTGAGGAGATCCCAGCTGAGTTGGGAAGGGCCAAGCAAGGAGAAGGTCCTGGTTGGCTTCATGGTTGAGTTGGGATGGACGGAGCAGGGAGAAGGTCCTGGTTAGGTTGGGATGGATGGAGATGAGGAGAAGGTCCTGGTTGGGATGGATGGAGATGAGGAGAAGGTCCTGGGTTGGATGGATGGAGATGAGGAGAAGGTCTCAGTTGAGGTGGGAAGGATGGAGAAGAGGAGAAGGTCTTGGTGGACCTCAGGGTTGAGTTGGGAAGGATGGAGCGAGGAGAAAGTCTTGGATGAGTTGGGAAGGATCAAGCGAGGAGAAGGTCCTGGCTGATTCCATGGTTGAGGTGGGAAGGATGGGATGAGGAGAAGGTCCTGATTTAGTTGGGAAGAATGGAGAAGAGGAGAAGGTCTTGGTTGACCTCAATGTTGAGCTGGGAAGGATCAAGTGAGGAGATCCCAGCTGAGTTGGGAAGGGCCAAGCAAGGAGAAGGTCCTGGTTGGCTTCATGGTTGAGTTGGGATGGACGGAGCAGGGAGAAGGTCCTGGTTAGGTTGGGATGGATGGGGTGGACTCCATGGTTGAGTTGGGAAGGACAGAGTGAGGAGAAGGTCCTGGTTGAGTTGAGAAGGATGAAGCGAGGAGGTCTCCACCGTTGAGTTGGGAAGGATGGAGCAAGGTCTTGGTTGAGTTGGGATGGATGGAGAAGAGGAGAAGGTCCTGGTTGGGTTGGATGGATGGAGATGAGGAGAAGGTCCTGGTTGGGTTGGGATGGATGGAGATGAGGAGAAGGTCCTGGTTGGGTTGGGATGGATGGAGATGAGGAGAAGGTCCTGGTGGATCTCAGGGTTGAGTTGGGAAGGATGGAGAGAGGAGAAGGTCTCAGTTGAGTTGGGATGGATCAAGTGATGAGAAGGTCTTCGTTGACCTCAATGTTGAGTTGGGAAGGATCAAGTGAGGAGATCTCTGTTTAGGTGGGAAGGATGGAGAAGAGGAGAAGGTCTGGGTTGACCTCACTGTTGAGTTGGGAAGGATCAAGCGAGGAGAAGGTCAAGTTGGGATAGACAGAGTGAGGAGAACGTCCTGATTTAGTTGGGAAGGATGGAGAAGAGGAGAAGGCCTTGGTGGACTCCATGGTTGAGTTGGGAAGGACAGAGTGAGGAGAAGGTCCTGGATGAGTTGAGAAGGATGAAGCGAGGAGGTCTCCACAGTTGAGTTGGGAAGGATGGAGCAAGGTCTTGGTTGAGTTGGGATGGATGGAGAAGAGGAGAAGGTCCTGGTTGGGTTGGGTTGAATGGAGATGAGGAGAAGGTCCTGGTTGGG